GCGCGGGGCGGGTGTGGTGGAGCCGGGTGGCGCGGGGCGGGGAGCCACGGGGCGGCGCGGATGTCCTGTGGTTGGCGATAGCGCGTCTGGGTCGGGCCTGCGCCACCGCTATCACACAACACTCCTCTCACCTGCGTACTGCAGCGGACCTCTCCCAGACTTCCTTCCACTTTTGCTTAACGTTAGTCCTGCGAAATTACTGGGCCAGCAAGGGTGTGATGGGATAGGTGACATTAGGACGTTCTCCGCCACAGCGTCCTAGTTCGGTTTGACGGAGATGATGACATTGATAGAAAGGAAATATCCCCAAGACCCGTTTAATAGGGCATTTGCATTTGCATTTGCGCGGATGTAATCAAGGAGATCAGAGCGATTGGCCTGCGAATTCGGTTCCGGCAGGCGCCTCTTACTAACCGACTTTTTCCAGCTTCAGGTGATGCCGATTTCAGCTATCAGCTCCCGGTACCAACAATGCCCAGGCGCAGATCAACATTTTTTCAGTATCTATTAATTTTAACTTTTGACTTCTGAGTTGTGATAAAATAGCACGTATTTTTACGCAAATTACATGAAAAGTAATCAAATTTTCGAAAAATTGTACACGGATTTATTTCAAAATCTATCATTAAGGACTAGATTTCATTAAGGGATAATATCTCTATCTCTACTATTTTAGTTGTAGGAAGACTCCCAAAAAATATTCAACTTTTGCAATTTCCCAAAAATCATGATCTTTAACGAACATGAGACCAGCTCCATTTTCATAAACGTTTTTCACACTATTTAACAAAAAAAAAATTAATCAAAACCGATGGAGCCTTTTTTTTGTTGAAAATTTGAAAAATGTCCCAGGACATTCATGTAAAGTACCCTCCGAAATTGAAATATCGGTTTCAAATTCCAGGGGACGTACCATCAGCCATATTGATTGGGGAATATCAATTTTGGAGAAAATCGGCTGATCGATTTAGCCACGAACGTTGTTTACAGGCTGTCATGTTTTGCCGTCATTCGATTTTAGTTTCAAGGATCCACAAAACAGATTATTGCTACACCGTATTAGGGGATTTTTTCTCAATTTAGCAACTGGATTTATTCACATTTTGGTTACCAGGGCCCTAGTTTGGGTACCAGAAAAAAAATCATCATTTCACCGTGCAGAATTGCATAACTTTTAAATCGTATCGCATCATGAGCTGAGTAAAGCGTGCATCATTCTATATAATCTGTAATATGACATATTTGCCTAAAACATTTTGAATAAAAAACTATCTCAATGTACCGATCACACTCGACTCAGTCGGTTATTTATATAGTATCCGTGTCATGGAGAAATATAATAATTAAGAGGCGGATTTTGATGACCTAAAAAAAGCCAAAAATGATCAATAAAAAACTCTTAAAATGTTTTGAAATACCCAAAAACACTAGAAAATTGACGTAAATTTGTTTATGAAAACAAATTCAGATTCGAAACAAATTCAGATGCGTAATTCAAACTGTTGAATATGTTACTCGTGTATTTGGATTGAGGGAAAGTCATACCCCTTCCAAAAAAGAGGCCCAGAGAAAAAAATTAAAATGGTAAAAGTGTAGGAAAAATAAAAATGAGTAACACAAGAAAAACATGTAGAAACGTAAAAATGTATCGAAAAAATAACCGCGTGTTTTGTCATTAGTTTTTTTAGTTACGAATAGGAATCCTGATTCTCGCTGTATTTTAGTTCCGTGGTGCATATGGAAAATGTTTTCGGCTGTTCTCCAGGGGCGTGTGACAGCTCACCTCTTTCTTACTCATCTTGACGGCGACTTCCAGGTATTGGAGTGTGGCAGACGCAACCGGAAAGTGTTGACGAAGTAAGATCTCTCTCAAAGTTTCCAGTTTAACAACCTATCGGCTTCCGACTAATTTTCACTTCCTTAATCTTCGAGTGATCGCGAGGGCGGTATAAATGCCACCTTTAATAATAAAACGTTAAAGCTTGTGGATGATTTGAACTCAGCGTTGCGGGGAGCCAGGTATTCTCTAGTTATCTATTGAGACAGAAGATTGTAGATAGTCATCTCCAAAAGACCCAATCACATTTGCGCCAAATTCGTGCAAAAGTGACCAACGCCATCAGTCTTCATTCTACTCGCCTGTTCCAGTTTTTTTTCACGAGTGTGATAAATACATAGAAATATATTTCATATTATTTTCTAATAAAAATGTTGTAATAATCCTTTTATGATAACTATTGTGTAAATTAAATGCATTTTTTATTCATTGTGTGTAATTTGTAGGTGATTTCAGTGGATTATAGCAAACTAGCTTCCCAGTACTTCCTATTCTCGTTTTATTGTAACAAATTTAGCTACCTACACTTCCTCTTCTTCTTTTTACCATTTTCATCTTATTAGATTTTTACCTCCTTACTTCATTACATTTTAATTTACATTTTTATTAAACCATTATAAGTATGTATTTGTATGTATTTGTATGTATTTTATGCATTTGTCATCAGTGTTTTGTGGAGCCAAAGTAGGATACTGATTTTGCAGATTACTTTCAGAAATTTCTCTTCTAGAGAATAATTAAAATTGTTTCGCAGATTTTTAATATAATACAACGCTCAGCTAATGCTATTTAATAAATTCCCCATGACTAATGATTCAGAAAAGCGTATAATATTGAGAAAAGGGAAGTATGTTCGTCGGCGGCTAAAATACCGCCCCGCGATTGCGCTTGTGACACCGCGATTGCGCGAGCGCCCGAAGGTTAATAAACATTTGAGATCGATATAATAACGGAATCCGACGTTTCCATTTCTCATGTCGTTCCCAAGCTAAGCAAATATGCAATACGATTAGGACGAATTTGTTGGAAAATTTAATTTTCTTTGAAAAGTATCAAAGGTTCTTTTTTACGGCACACTGAGAATTTTCCACTCTTCGGAAAGTTCACAGGTCCCAGCCACGTTTGAAACCACAAACTCGAATTTTGGAAGCCAGTGGTGTGCTAAGACACACTGGATTCGGCCGTATCTCATGAAATAATTCATTTTACAGTTGCGCATGAACGCGAACAATCCGTTCTCTGCCGTTGGTTGTCGCCGTTCCGTTTTCGATATGGCTCTCAGAAGAAGAAACTCGCTGTGCGGCGGGCGCTCTCGTGGTTTTCTTGTTCTTTTCCCTCAGGGGTTTTCCCTGCCTCGCTCATGCCTTCGTCACCATTGTCATCTCTTCTATTTGCTCATCAGCTCTCGAGTTGCCGCCATTCCGAGTAATGCGATAAAAGTGAGGATCCTTAAGAGCTCCACCAGTGAAGGCTATCTCGGCGAACTAGCTGCGTCCACATATTTTTTGTTCCGCTCGGGTAACGTTTGAACAGTGTGCCAGCTTTATGTGACACGATCCTGGTTTCGATTTTCGGTCAGGGTAAAAATAGAGTTGTGGCATTCCTTTAAAATCGTCTCAATTTCTATAGCTGTGTGACGAATATAAGTTCAGGAGCTGTGAAGGTAATGCTTCATGTTCGCCACATGTCCCATATCTCACAACTCACGAACCGCATGCCATCATTCGTTCCCCGGTATCATTTGAGCCGAGCGATCGGTTATTCTTAAGCGGCCCATTTCCCTTAATGGAGCTAGGTCCGGGATATATTAGAGACACCAGATGACACATGATTTTAAATTATATCAAACTAATTTAACCAGGAATCATTTAAATAGTCAAAATTAGTGTATAATTATTTGTATTGGTGGCACGTTTTAGATTTATTGAAAAACCGAACATTTTTAAGTCATCAATCCGACTCTAGAAATTCATTGTTTCAATGATGTTTTAGGGATGAAAACTTGTAGTTGAAAGTAGTAGTCTCTAATCAGTTCAAAATTATGCCGTTATCAGATTTCGATTTAGAGATTTACCTCAACGTGGGTGCTGACTTGAACGTCACGCTAGGGTAGTCAGAACCAACGTTATTTAGATCTTCGATGCCGAAAAATTGGTTTTACGGCAAAAATTGGTATAACGTCTGTGAACAGGAGCGTTTAGCGTTTAAAAGCTTGTTTGGTTAAAAAGAGAAGCTAAAAATCTAATAGATGTGATGGCTCCTTATTTTAAATCGAATGCGTTTAGGAAGTACTTTAGATTAAGTCTCAAAAGCATTTTCAAAACTTCCTCAAAAATTGCTTCTAATATTTTGTTTAAAAAATTATCTGGTAGAAAAAAATATGCTTTTAAAAATGATGCGATACGATTTTGTAAAACTGTTTAAATTCTCGAAAACTGCAAAATTTGAATTTTTTCCCCTTTTTACAATTGAAATATTGCAGGTTGAAAGTTCTAACTTAATGAAATATGCTCATCAAAATTAGACCTTGAAATGGGGTTGCGAACAATTTTTTCAAATTTATGTAGTTTTTTGTAATTTTGCGCGTAGTAAAGGCAATTTGAAAAACATTATTTTCTCCACAAAACTTTTTCTTCACAAAAATTACAAATAATGTAAGAAAATATGCGCTGCAGCAGTATTTTACCGCTTTTGTTTGCATAGTGCTTTAAAACGTAAATACCAACATTGCAAAACGAAGCCACTGTTTGTTGGCGGGAGGGTGAACAGCTGTGCGCCACAACCGGAATGGGCAAGAGTGGAGACCGCAGCTCTGCGGTCGGCGCGCCCTTTCGCCAAGGCGCGACCGATAATCTCTAGCGGATGTGTCGCCGAAACGAACACTGGCGTCGCCAGCGTCCGAACTCAGCAAAGGGAAGGGGATGCGCGAATAATCGACAACCTCAGGCAGCGAAATACTTATTCTAGGTGTTTAAATGGCTAATAACGAGGAACATTAACATGGAATGTTATAAAAAACAATGTTATATTTTATATATTTACTATGTACTTCCCTTTACAGTGTTTGAGTTCCTGCATGTATGCCTACTTTGTATACTT